GCGATCCGACCGAAGCCCGAGCTTCAGTTCCCAGCCCTGCCCGCCCCGGCGGATGAGCAGACAAGCTTCTCGGGCTGGTGATTGCCGGTCGGCACCAATCCTCTGTGCGGGAATGTCTCCGCTCCGCCCTCCACCCCCCTGTTGCTGCGCTCTCCTCCGTGGCTCCGAAGCTTCCCCCCTCAGCCACCCGCAGTCTCCGCCCGGGGGGGCTTCCTAGTGTGTGGAAACCTTTCCTCCTTCACAGCTCCCTCCCACTGGTGCAGGTCCTGTCCCTATTCTTTTGTCCCTGTGTTTTCTTTTTTCTTTTGCCCTACTCAGGTACATGGGAAGTTTCTTGCCTTTTGGGAAGTCTGAGGTCTTCTGCCAGCGTTCAGTAGGTGTTCTGTAGGAGCTGTTCCACATGTAGATGTATTTCTGATGTATTTGTGTAGAGGAAGGTGATCTCCACGTCTTACTCTTCCATCATCTTGAAGCTCCTCCCCAGTATAGAATTTTTTAATAGTTGAAAATGAGACTGTCCTAGTACCTAAAAGAGCCTTGGATATAGTTGAGGCTGAAGCCAGAGATGAGATGGAACATATTGGAGAACAATGGTGGGAGAAGAATTAAACTCTTATGTTTAAACTCTATGTATTTCAGTCTGCTCAGTAAAGCAGTTACCTAACTGTAACATAATATAGTACAGAAAGTGCTAAGGCTAGGAAAGATTTTCATCTGATTGTTTACCTGATAGTCATATTTATCTGGTTGACCATTAATCTCTTAAATGTAGAAAAGTTTTTCCTTGTGTGGCAAAAAATATGTGACATTTTCCATTTCAAAGTCCAAAGGGAATGACAGGACAGACTACAATGCACTAAGAAACTAGAAAGTTATTGAATATGCAACAATGTGTTTAAGCAAAGTCTTTCATTTGACACTTCTTCTTCTCTGCTCCTTTTGTGTTATCTATGTCATAAGAACCAAAGAAAATGGCTACGTGTTGTGACAATATGATCCACTTATGGATGAGGGTGGCTAGACAAGAAAAGCAGCATGGAGAGCCCAGACATGGAGGTGGAGAAGGGGGATGTAGAGGGGAACATGGTGCTCTGTACTGTGCACCACACTCTGAAGGGCTCTCTTGACTCCCCAACCATTCAGGTGGGTTGAGGGGCCAGGATGGATGACACACAGTCTGCTGTGGAGACTTCTCAACAGGACAGTGTCTTGGAGGCAACTGCAAGCCAAGAGACTGAATGGCTCTTACCATGTTGACAAACATATATTTAATCTGAAAATGTTTCCTCTATATGAAAATAGCAACATGCATAATTACTTTCGTTTAAATTTATATTTAATAAAGTAATAACTCATTTAAATTCATGATAATAATAATAATAAATGGCTAATGTTAAGCACTTACCATGTGCCAAACTCTTTACCTTCATTATCTTATTTAACACAATAATCCAAAGGAGTAGGTTGCTATATGATCTCCATTTTACAAGTGAAAAAATTGAGCCTTGAACAATGCATATAGCTTACCTATGTTTATTGCTAGTAAGTGGCAGAGAGGAACATTAATCCAGACCTGTATAACTCTGAACCTCAAACTCTTAATTACAGGTATTAGGTAGCACCTTCTTTTATCTCTCTCTATCAGTTCATCATAATTTGGAATAAAAAACTGCAGGTATTGAGATTTAAACCAAGAGCTTTAATAATAATAGAAATTTTATAGAACAGAGAAGACCAAACCTTTCTAAACTATAGATTACATAGTTAATGGTATCTTCTCTCCTTTTCATTTATCTTTCATCAGTTAGTGTTATAAATATGTAACACAGAATATTAAAGTTCAGTTAAATAAGAGAATTACTCAATTAAATGAGAGAATTTTTCTTGCTAAATTCATATTTACATATTTTATTATTTCTACCAGAGTGTTTATTTCAAAATTCATTTCCTAAAATGTGATTTTTCTCTCTTGAGTGTCATCTTTTTAAATGGTAGAGAAAGCATTCCCAGTATTCAACACAAACTTATATACTGGTTTGAAGATAGTAACACATTTCCACATTTGCAAATTTCTTTCTCTCTCTCTCTGTAGCTAACAAACTCACTAAAACTTGTAAGAAAATTGAACTATAAATAAATAAATATAAACATACATTAAAGTGCAAACATATACAGGTATCCCTTGCTTTTCAAAAGTTTGCTTTATACCACTTTGTTTTTTACAAAAGACCTACATTAGTACCTATTTTCACAAACTGAAAAAAATCTGAATAGATTTTCCCTTTTATAAAAAAGGTGAAAAATGAAAATTGGTTCTTCACTTTATGCCATTTTGGCTTACAAGTTTTCTTAGGAATGCTTTCCTTTTAGATAGCTGGGGAAATCTGTATTTGTATCACGATTTTGACATCCTAAAAATAATAAGTTGACTAAACCAATTTATCTTATATTTATTGCTTATGAAGAGTATTTTGATGACCATAAAAATTCAAAATATACCCTACAGTATATTGCAAAGAAAAATTAACCGTTTTTGGTGTGTGGGCAAGAAACAATCTAAGGTAAAAATGCTTTACTAAAACTGCTTTGGGATTTAGAATATTCTAGTAAAGAGGAGAATTTTAAAGGGACATAAAACTTTTGATTCAATATCCCGAGTGTGAGACCTTTTCTCTTCCAGGCAGCTCCATTGGTTTTCAAAGATTACTTGGCCCATTAGAACAGCATCATCTTTTAAAATGCAGGACATGTACTTAATAGAGGCAGAGTGCATCACTTGAGAGGATGTCTCAGGATGTTAGTGTCCCTTTTAATCTGTGCTGCCTGACAAAACAGGCACAAAACTCAACCCTTGGTTCAACACCATTAGCAGCTTTAGCCCTGTGTGGTACCAAAGCACAAGAAGCATAAAGTATGCAGTACAGCCTTCCTCAACTCACTTTCAAAAAAGAGTATTTCATGTATTTTTCATGCTATTTCTCTTCTCTTCCATAAGATTTTAATGGACTAGAGTATGTCATGTGTATAGAACTCATGATAAAATGGACAGGCGCTATATGATTGAAGTAGCTTCAGAAATAGACAAGGGACAAATCTTTTAAAATGCATTATCTGAATATGATTTAACTTGAAAAGTGAAAATGTTGTTGTTATTTTTAATAGCACAAAGAGATTTGTACTACAGAAAGTCTAAAATGATTATTCACCCCAAACGGATTATTTATTTTGAAATGAATATTTATAGAGAACATCTGAATTAGGCAGTAATCTTTGCCTTTGTTTAAACACAATTAACAATATGCAAATTAAGGCAGTGCTTTTTAGAAAATATGTGAGCCTAAGTACTAATATTGGCAGTCATTTCAATATCTGCACAGTGAGTACATAAAATGAGGAACAACTAACCTGTTATGCCCTTAATTAATGAACACCTGTACACAATGAAAGCATGGCTGATTTCACGAATGCATGGAAATCCAACCTAGCAATTAATATTCAATTAAAAATGCACACTATTGAAAAAGTAGCAGGAAAAAAACAACTTGTGATAGGCAAATCACAAAAGCAGAAAAGTTGGATTTTTCTGTGAATGAATCTTTTCCAACATATTTAGAGTAGTTTTTCTTTTCTTGGTTGCTTAATTTTTATATGAAAAGAATTTGAACATATTTTTAATGATTATTCACATTTTATGCAATAAGTTGATCATTTGGGATTCTTTTCTTTTCTTTCTTTCTCTTTTTAAGAACCAGACTGAGTGTGTTTTAGAGAAAGAACCAACTCTTTTGATAATTTATTTTAATTATTATAAGGTTTGTTCAATTTCTAAGAAGTCACAAATCACATTTTTGGTCCAATTCTATAACTATGATACAAACTGTACAATACACAGTTCATTCTTAAACTTCTATGTACATGTGTCTCTGACCTGGGTCCTGATGTGGATAGCAGCATATAAAGGAAAGAAAAGGAATATTCCTTTTTAATCTTTCAACAAAGACATATGGAGTACCAGTGCCAGACATTGTTCTAGGTATTGAAGATAAAACAGTGAACAAATAAGACAAAATTCTCATCCTTAGTGTATTTACGTTGTAATGATTATTGAGATTCATGTTACCATTGAGTGTAAAGACATTAATTTGTATTTCTCCTTCTCGTATCTGTAATCGACCCCCCTCTTCATTTCTCTGTTGTTTTAATCTTTCTTATCAACATTATTGATATTTGTGTTTGCCTAAGCTAGTGCCTTACTAAATACTTTTTATATATAATTTTACAGGGACATACAGATAAATCTCAATAAGACTTTGTCCAAAGTAATCAAAACTCTACTAACAATTTTTCTTTATTCTGCTTCTTCCAGATGATGGACAAGTTATCTTAACATTTGTTTTTAAATAAAGCTGTTAATTTTCCTTGTGTGGTCTTTAGAAAGATTCTATCAGAGATATTTCATTCTAAAAGGCCGGAAGAATACTGTTTTTTTTTCTAAGTTAGGAAGCAGTTATTTTACACATAGACATCAAGATGGCAGTAGGTCAAGTTAAGACTATGTTTGTCTTTACCAAGTGTAATTTATACCAGCTCAGACGGTGAAGGGCAACATAAAGAGTTTAAGGAAGTACCCTATAATTAGAGGTAACTTATCACTGGTGAAAAAGAGGGTGAGCTAATCTATTCTGAATTTTATAGGTCTGCTGTATTGAATGAGTATATAATTAGAAGAAGAAACTAACTGCTTCAGTTTCATGGTAACTTGATGCAGGCAAGGTTTGGGAGGAAATTGAAGCACCTAGACCTGTACTTGTAGAAACAAGGAAAGAATGTTCTGAAAACAGATAAAATGAAAGAATTATTTTGAAGGAATATATTTTATGATGTCTAGGTAAATGAATCAGGAAAAATTATACTAAAGCAAGCATTAATGGTTAATTCAACTTGCTTTAAAAGTGATTAGGGACATACCAAATAGAATGCTGACTCCCCAATATTCTCACCTGCTTCATTTGTGCGGATCATTCGAGATGGGGTGCTTGGATCTCCAGTCCCAATTGGATTGGTGGCCACCACTCTGAATTCATATTCCACCCAGGGGTTCAGGTCCACTGCCATGGCTGATTCCATGTCCCCTGTTATGATTTCTGGGACTGTGGAGAGGAAGTAGATTTCATGCCATTAAGTGAACTGGAAATGCTTATAGATCGCGATCAAAATCACAGGCACTGACATAATTGGCAGGCTGCTGCGTACATCCTTATAACACATGGTCATGTGTCACCTCCCATCTCATTAGTAAAATGAAAATCAATCTTCAGAAGTAAGCACTTGCACGTTAGTTTGTTGTAGTTAGAATTCTTTCATCTCATATTTGCACATAGATTGACATAACATAACTTGCCATGATCATTTTGTCAACCCCTCAGCCCCAGATAAGACACCAACTAGTGCTCTAATTTAAGCAAATAGTTCTCATATTTCTAGAGAAATTTCTTGAGCAGTTTTCTCCTCACAGTTCTGGCAAACATGCTTAGCCACTTGGCAGTTCCAAGCAGCAGAGTAAGAATATATTTCTCTAATTTAAAAACTCCAATTTGTGGTTTCAAAGTGGAAGCTCTGAACTCTCCTTGGAGTGGTTTTTGCACTACATTTAGATTTTATTAAAACATAAAATTGTGTGTCAATATAATTACCACATAGTAAAGTATTTTTTACATAGCATTTATGCTCTATTTGACTGCTTTTCTTGTTCACTCATCTCTGCTGTGTAGGAAATATTTCTGGAAGAACATTTGTTATAGAGGTGAAAAGGGGGAAAGTAGAAAACCTCCCTTATGAAGTTCAATCATTCTCTGGGTTTATATCAGCCCTGGATTTCTTTTTAAACATGGCAGGGCAGTGGCAGGGGGGAACTCTTGATCTGATGACTTGATGGACTTTTACTGTGACAAGGTGTAATTAAATGCATCTTGGATTTCCCATAAAAATCTCTTTTGAAATGTAACAGTAGAATATTACCAGATAATTAGCTCCCTGAAAGGTGAATGATCAATGCATAGGCAGTGTAGGATGCCTGACAAATCTCACAGCCCTACAGAGCTGACTTTTTAAAGCAGTGAAATGAAGACATGAAAAAAGTCTGTCCCCTTTTGCTGCACTGGCAAATGAGCAACATGCTTGGAGTCTAAGAGGTAGGGGATAAAGGCCACTGTTGGTAGAATACTGAGCTGTGTATGCCAAACATAAAGGTGGGAAGAAGAGATACCAAGGCACTCAGCTCTCCCTAGACCCCAACATACACTGTTTCACCAATACTTGCCTTGGGTCCCTCAGGACTTACTGTTTCATTGACTTCTGTTTATGTCAGTCATTTCAAGCAACTCCAGACAGATAGGTCGTGCCTCATCCGTTTTATTCTAATCCCCATAGAACTCTGCACATTTCCTCTTTCTGTCTCAGTTGTCATCCTTCCCTACTGTTTAAAATCCTTTTATTAGGGCCTTTGGAATTCATAATCCGTCATTAGCAAAATTGCCATATACTCATTCTTCTTTCTGAACATTCTTACAACTTTTAACTACAGTAGAAACATGAATCCACTCTAAGGCAACTTTATGCCTCTCAAGGGGTGGCCCTCTTAAGATATTGTAAAGAAGAGGTCAGTCCATCTCAGTTGTGTCTCTCTCCTCCCCACCTCCCCCACAAATGTCTCTAAAGCAAGCATGCAGGTATTTTTCCCACTTAAAAACAAATCAAAACAAAATTGTCTCAAAATTTTCTCTCCTTCCAGCCTTCACTCAGTCTCTATGTTTCTTTTATAGCAAAACTTCTCGAGAGTTATTTGTGCCCTATTTGCTATCTCCAATTATTCTCTTTCTATTCACTCTTGAACCCACTCCAATCAAGCTCTTAACCTCCAGCATTCCACTATAACTGCTCCTGTAAAGATCACCAATGGTCTCTATTGCTAAAACCGTATGGTTGGGTCTCTGTTCCTTAGACTGTTTGTTCTAACATCATGCTATTACACAGTTGATCATGCTCTTCTCTTTGAAATACTTTTCAAAACTTCTGTTTTTCTCCCTTCTGATTATGCCTTATCAGTCTCCGTTGCTAGTTTCTTTTCTTCTTCCAGGTGCACCACAGATCTACTAACTCCCATTTTTTTTTTAACTCCATGGTGATCTTATCTAGTCTCATGATTTTAAATACCTTCTGTATGCTGATGACGCCAATATTTTCAGCCATGAACTTCCTCCCTAGACTCCAAATTCACATGTCCTATGACCTATTAAACATTTCTATTTAGATGGGATTCTTAACCTTAATTTCCCCCACCTACTTCTGCAGTATTCCTTACTCAGTGAATGACAATTTCTGTATCCAAAATTTGGGGGTCATCCTGGATTTCTTTCTTTTTCCCCTGCACCACTCCAACTCATAAGCAAATTATGACATCTCTGACTTCAAAGTGTTTTGATTTCTCCACTTCCCTTTGCAGCAAAACTTCTTAAAAGAGTTGTCTGCATTAACTTTTCTCCATTTTCTCTTAAACCAATTCTTGTGAGACTTTAATCCTTACCATTTTACTAGAACTTCTAGTGTCAAGATCACGAATTACTTCTATGTTGCTTAAATCAATGATCAATTCTCATTCCTCATCATACTTTCCAAGTCAGTAGCATTTGACCCAGCTGACTACTTTCTCTTTCTTGATAGATTTTACTCTTTTTTTCTGTCAGGCTATCACATTCTTTTTTTTTTTTTTTTTTTTAACAAATGGTTGCTTCCCCTCTGTATCCTTTGGATGGCTCCTTTTCCACAACTTCTTTCTATTCGATACTTGAGGGCTTAGTTTTCATACTCCTTTCTTCTTTATTTTATGCTTATATCCTTGGAGATGGCATGTAGTTTTATGGTATTAAATGAAATTTATATGCCAATAATTTCCTAATTTATATCTTTATTCTAAACCTCACTCTTAAACTCCAGCCTTGTATATCTAATTGCTGTCTGATCTCTTTAAAGGCGTCTCCCCCAAATACAGTCATACAGTGGTTAAGATTTCAACATATTAATTTTGGGGAGACACAAGTCAGTCCATAGCAGGCAGGTTGTGATTTTTAAAATTTTTTTAAATTTATGTTAATTTTTGGAAATTCACTTGATGCACAATCTATGTTAGTTTCACGTGCACTACAGAATGATTTGACATTGCATACATTATGAAATGATTGCCACATTATGTCTAGTAACCATCTGTCCCTAAACAAATATATTACAATATTACTGACCATATTCTTAGGCTGTATATTACATGCCTGTAACTTATTTATTTATAACTAGAGATTTGCACCTTTAATCTCCTTCACCTATTTCACATCCCCCAATGCCAACTTTCTGGCGATGTCTGTCTGTTCTCTGTATCTAAGAGTCTGTTTTCATTTTGTTTTCTTTCTTTTTTTGTTTTTTGAATTCCATATATGAGATCATGTGGTATTTGTTTTTCTCTGATACTTCATTAGCATAAGACCCTCTAAATCCATACACATTATGTCAAAAGGCAAGATTTCATTATTATTATAGCTGAGTAATATTCCACTGTTTATATATTTACCACATATTCTTTATCCATCTATCAATGAACACTTAGGTGGCTTCCATATCCTGGCTATTATAAATAATGCTGCAATGAACATTGGAGTGCATACATCTTTCTGAACTAGTGTTTTTGTTTTGTTTAGATAAATACCCTGAAGTGGGATTGCTGGATTTTATAGTAATTCTATTTTTTAAAATTATGCAATCAAAATTTTAGTAACAAAGATACTATTTTTAACGTGGCCAAATATACTTGGCTAAGTCCAGATTTTAAAAATCAAGAGCTTGGTCGATGACAAGAGCTTGTGGAGGGAGCATCAGTGTTCTGCTGCATTTCTGCATCTGGCAATACAACAGCAAGCACCAGATTTTAGTAATCCTATTTTTAATTTTTTTGAGGAAGCTATTACTGTCTTCCATAGTGGATATACCAACTTACATTCCTACTAAGAATGCACAGGAGTTTCCTTTTCTCCATATGCTCACCAACATTTGTTATTTGTTGCTTTTTTGCTAAGAACCATTTTCACAGGTGTGAGGTAATATCTCATTGTAGTTTTGACTTGCATTTGTCTGATGCTTAGTGATGTTGAGTGCCTTTTCATGTGTCTGTTGGCCATCTCTATGTTTTCTTTGGAAAAATGTCTATTTAGGTCATCTGCCAATTTTTTAATCAAGTTGTTTGATTTTTTTATTTGATGTTGAGTTGTATGAGTTCTTTGTATATTTTGGATATTAACCCCTTATTAGATGTATGATTTGCAAATATCTTCAAATATTTCAGTAGTCTACCTTTTTGTTTTGTTGATAGTTTCCTTTGTTATGCTAAAAATTTTTAGTTTGATGTAGTCCCATTTGTTGATTTTTGCTTTTAGTGCCCTCGTCTGAGGAGACAGATCCAAAATAAATATTAAGACTGATGTCGAACAGTGTACTATGTTTTCTTCTAGGAATTTTATGGTTCCAGGTCTTACATTTAAGTCTTTAATCCATTTTGAGTTATTTTTATATATGGTGTGAGAAGGTAGTCCAATCTGATTCTTTTGCATGTAGCTATCCAGTTTTCCCAGCATTATTTACTGAAAAGTCTTTCTTCTCCTCATTTTATATTCTTGCATCCTTTGCCATAGATTAATTAACCATATGTGTGTGGGTTTATTTCTGGGCTCTCATTTCCCATACTATTTTGATTACTGTAGCTTTGTAGTACAGTTTGAAATGAGGGAGAATGATACCTCCAGCTTTTTCTTTCTTTCTTGATTTTTTTGGCTATTTGGGGTGTTTTGTGTTTCCATACAAATTTTAGAATTATTTGTTCTAGTTCTGTGAAAATTGCCATTGGTATTTTGATAGAAATTGCATTGAATCTTTAGATTGCCTTAGATGGTTTGGTCATTTTAACAATATTAATTCTTTCATTATATCATTTTCTATGTATAGTATTATTTCATCTGAAAACAGTGAGTTTTACTTCTCCTTTCCAATTTGGATTCCTTCTATTTATGTTTTCTTGTCTGATTGTTATGGCTAGGACTTCCATAAAGGTAGT